ATACATACCACATCCTGATTTCTATGCTCACTCCAGGAGTCCGACTCAAGTACTCATGCTTGCATAACAAGCATTTCACTAATTGAGCTACCTCCACAGTGCAGTCTCCTTCTCTAAATAAAAAAAAAAAAAAAGCAGCAGAGGCTCTGGGAGAAGGTAAGCACATCAGATACAGCTCTGAGCTCTGTTTGCTTCCAGGGCCACCCCCCAAGCCCAGCCTCAGCGCCTGGCCCAGCTCAGTGCTTCCCACCCAAAGCAGTGTGACAATGCGATGCAGGAGCCCTGCTCCAAGTGAATACTTCATCTTCAAAAAGGAAGGTTTCGTTTTGGATTCTGCGAAGCCAAATGATTTGACAGAGAAGATGGCTGAGTTTCATATCGCTGAGTTACAGCAGAATCATGGAGGGCATTACACCTGTGAATCCTTCAGCAAATGGCCCAATGGCACCGGGACCCAGCCCAGTGATGCCCTTCTCCTATTGGTCACAGGTAAGGAGGGTCTATCTCGGGAAGACATATGGCACCTTCAGGCTGGGGGTAAGGGAGGGACCGGGAGAAGGAATGAAGAAGGGTGGGATCTCCAGAGCAAAGGGTAGAGGAGTGGGAATGTGGTTCCACCCAGGGTTTGTGGGAATGAAAAAAAAATCTCTGTTCTAGAGTCACGGTAGATAATGAGAGGGATGAGGCTCAGTAGATTGCTCCCACAAGAAAAAGAATGGAAAAAAAAACCAAAAAAACATTACCCGGCAGTGGTGGCACACACCTTTAATTTCAGCACTGGGGAGGCAGATGCAGGTGGATCTCTCTGAGTTCAAGGCCATCCTGGTCTACAGAGTATGTTCCAGGACAAGGGCTACCCAGAGAAACCCTGTCTTGAAAAATAAAGAAAGAACACAAGCAACAACAAAGAACAGGAATGTGCACAAGGCCTACAGCGTCTCCCCTTGAGCTCAGAGCCTCTTTCTTCTCCAGGGTACTTGTCTAAACCTTCCCTCCAAGCCTACCACAGGGGCACAGTGCCTGCAGGGAGCCAGGTGATACTGCAGTGCCAGAAAGCGGGCAGTGTGCTCGGACCCGTGAGGTTTGCATTGCTGAAGGAGGGACGCTCGGCTCCCGTGCAGATAAGGAGCGCCACAGGAAGGGTGCTTGACTTCTCCCTTCTGAACGTGACAGCCAGAGACTCGGGGAGATACAGCTGTGTGTACTACCAGGCAAAGGCTCCCTATCGGGCCTCAATCCCCAGCAATCCCCTGGAGGTCTCTGTGACAGGTAAGGTTTGCTATCATTTTCTGAAC